TAATGATCACATTTCATAGCCAGCATTAGTTATCTCCTCCTTTATTTTCCCCATACCATCACTTCGCTCCCTGACTCCTAAACTAGTCCCACTACTCCCCGCCACCCTGACAATGTAATGTTAGTTTACAATATAGTGTCCTGTACATCTCATCATCACAATGGGTCAGCCTGTATTCCCATTTAAAGGTTCTGCAATATCGTTTTCCCTCCCCAAATTACAAAAATGTATATACAAGATTCAGAACACCGGCATCAAATCCAGTGAAAACAGGATTTATACCAAGGGGGAAGAACATACAATAAAAACAAAAGAATCACAGAGTGCATTGTAAGTACATTAAAAACACTAGCAAGCCAGCAAGAAAAAAACCTCTTGTGTCCCTGTCTTGGTGTACATTTTGCTTAACATTATTTCATGTGGACATGTACATAGTCTTTGACCTTCTTTGCTTGTCCTAGACATGTACCAAAATAGTATAGATTGGTCTCAGAACCTCTAATTAATCTAGGCAACATTTATGTTCAAGTTAAGGTTCATTTCTTCCAGATCGTGATTTCTTCCCGAATCTTTGCAAAGTATTTCTCTCGGGTTTTATCAAGATGATGTAGCACTTGGGGGCAAAGATGCAGCCCAGGAGGCCTGCACTGGAGACCAAGATTGAGAAGACCTCCACGGCCACCAAGACCTTCCCCTTTGCACTGTGGTAGACAGGCAGGAAGCTGAGCCACACACTGCAGAACACCAGCATGCTGAAGGTCAGGAACTTGGCCTCATTGAAGGTGTCAGGCAGGTTCCTGACCAGAAAAGCAACCACGAAGCTGGCCAGGGCCAGGAAGCCCAAGTATCCCAGGACACAGTAGAAGGTGATGAGAGAGCCCATGTTGCACAGGATGATGATGTGGCCATGTTCAGAGTGTGCATCTGTGTCCACAAAGGGAGGAGAGATTCCCAGCCACAGGCCACAGAGAGTCACCTGGATGAGAGTGCAGATGGGGATAATGAGGCTAGGAAACCGGGACACCAGCCACTGCCTCGTGCTTCTCCCTGGAGCAGTAAGCGTGAAGGCCAGAACCACAGTGATGGTCTTGGCCAGGACAGTAGAGACAGCCACAGTGAAGACCACTGCAAATGTGGTGTGTTGTAGGATGCACGAGGCTGTGTGGGGACGGCCAAGGAAGAGCAAGGAGCAGAGGAAGCAGCAGGTGAGGGAGATGAGCAGGAGGTAGCTGAAGGCCCGGTTATTGGCCTTGACAATGGGGGTGTCTTGGTGCTTGACAAAGACTCCAAGAACAGCACAGGTGAGTGCAGAGAAGCAGAGAGCCATGCAGGCCAGACCCATGCCCAAGGGGTCTTCATAAGTCA